GCCGCCCGTCCCTGTGCCCTGGCGTCAAGAACTTATTACGCCGCAGCTATCTGTTGGGAGCTTTGGTCTTATCAGCTCGATTACGTCACCGCTCGCTCTTGGGAGCCGCGGTGCTAAGAGCGGAGTCTTTTGGGCCTCTTGGGGGGCTCTTGGGGAGCCTTTTGGGTGCCTCCTGGGGACCTTTTGGGGCTTTTCGGGGGCCTCTTGGGGCCTCCTGGGAGCTTCTGGGCTGCGGGGGTGAAGGGACTAGGCTGCCTTTGGCCGTCTTTGGGCTCTATTGGGGGCCTCTTGGGGCCTTCTTGGGGCCGTCCTGGCGCCGTCTTGGGCCGCCTTGGCGCCTCTTGGGCCGCCTTGGCGCCCTCTTGGGCCGTTTTGGGGCATTCTTGGGGGCCTCGTGGGCCTTCTTGGGGAGCTCTTGGGGGCCTCTTGGACAATCTTGGGCGCCTCTTGGCCCGTCTTGGCGCCCTCTTGGGCTATTTTGGGGGCCTCTTGGGAACATCTTGGGCCGTCTTGGGGCGGTCTTGGGGGCCTCTTGGACCGTCTTCAACGCCATGAAAGGCGAAAACCCGTATATGCTAAAAATGCAAGTTTTCCTTCAGAAATCAATGATTTTGGCCTCTTGGGGCCCTCTTGGGACGCCTCGTGGGCGCCTCCTGGGGCGTCGTGGAGGCCTCTTGGGACGTCTTGGGGCCGCCTTGGGCGGTCTTGGGCTCTCTTGGAGCGCTCTTGGGCCGTCTTGGGCGCTTCTTGGGCCGTCTTGGGCCGTCTTGGGCGCCGTCTTGGCCGCTTCTTGGGCTGTCTTAGGCGCCTAAGACGGCCCAAGAAGCGCCCAAGAAGCGTTTTCCGATGATGTCTCGAGCGAAACGCTGTTTTAAAGCCCCGATGGCCGTCCTACTCGATAAAAAAACGAGGCGGGAGGGCAATTAGATCCGGGACTGGCGATGCCACCCCCCTCGAACTCCCCCAAGTCCAATTTCTTCCGACTAACGGACCGCACGCTAACGCGCGCTTTCCGTCATCCAGGCCTGGCGATGCCACCCCCCTCGAACTCCCCCAAGTCCAATTTCTTCCGACTAACGGACCGCACGCTAACGCGCGCTTTCCGTCATCTGGGACCGCCGAGGCCAACCCCCTCACACTCCCCCTTGTTATCGAAGACGCCTACGGCGAATCACCGCCGCCCCCTGCCTTTCTGGAAGCGTCCATGTGGCCGAACGTTGAGGCCAGACCTGCCGAGCTATCGGACCATGTGTTCCCCGAATCGGTTTGGAAAGCCTTCGGGGAACACGTGGGCATCTTGAAAGTCCTCTTGGCCGTCTGGAGGCACCCCGTTGATAAATCAAAAGGGGGCGGCGGATTTCTCCCAACCACGGGGTCGCGACGCTACGCGCGCTTTCCGTCATCTGGGGGTCCGGCTGCCAACCCGCTCGAACTCCCCCAAGTTTTCGTCCCGACTAACGGATCGCACGCGAAGCGCGCTTTCTGTGATCTGAGGGTGGCGAGGCCATGCTCCTCACACTCCCCCTTGATATTGCTCTGGACTAAAGGATCGTGACGCTACACGCGCGTTATGACATCTGGGGGTCGGGCTGCCAACCCCCAAGAACTCCCCCAAGTTTTCCTCCCGACTAGCAAATCGCACGCGAAGCGCGCTTTTCTTTATCTGGGCTTCTGGCTGCCAACCCCCCTTGCACTCCCCCTAGTTGACTTTCTTCCGACTGACGGATCGCGACGCTGAGCGCGCTTTCCATTACCCGCCGACCTGTGCTTGCCACAGGGGTACACGGCGTGCTGGACGCTTGGCTGTTTCGGTACTTTAACAAGTTCCCACCGGCCTCCTGCCCAGCGCGCCGGTCACTCCGAAGGACCCACAAGACCGCCCAAAAGCTGGGAGGGCAAGGCCCCTGGCGCCTCCAAGACGGCCCCAAGGGCCCAAGAAAAGGTCTAAGATCCCTCCAAGACGGCCAAGATGGCCTCCAAGACGGATCTTAAGACGCCTCCAAGACAGCTAAGGTAACCCCAAGACGGCCCAAGGCTTCCTCCAGACGGCCCAAGAGGCCCCAAAGACGCCCCAAGATGGCTCCAAAAGCACCTCCGGGAGAACCTCTAGGACCTGCTGGTAAAAACCGATGTGTCCGCGTCCCGAGCTTCCAAGACGGCCAGACAGCCAAAGGTACCCCGACAGCAGCCGAATATGGCTTCAAGATGGCCCAGGATGCCTCCAAGAGGGACCTCCACAAGAGAACCACCATCAAGGTTCGACGAGACCATAATCGCTGCTTTCCCGAAGGTTCTCCCATGACGCTCGTACTATCATATTTGTGCGTTTCGGTCTGGCGACCCAAGAAGCCTCCGCGATGGCCTCGATCTGGCCAAAGAGGCCCCAAAACAGTCCCAAGATGGCCCAAGAGGACCCAACGATGGCCCAAGAGGCTTCCAAGACGGCCCCAACACGGCCCAAGCTGGGGTAGACCAAAGACGCCCTTAGACGGCCCTTCGA